GTCGGCGCCGACGTCGGCGTGAACGTAGGCGCCAGCGTTGGTGCCAGAGTTGGTGCTGGGGTCGGTTCCAGCGTCGGCATTGGCGTAGGTGCTGACGATGGCGCTGATGTTGGTGCCAGTGTTGGATCTGGTGTTGGAGCCACTGTTGGTGCCAGGGTCGGTTCCGGCGTAGGCTCTGGCGTTGGCGCTGGCGTTGGCGCTGGCGTTGGCGCCAGCGTTGGTGCCAGAGTTGGTGCCAGTGTTGGTGTGGGGGTCGGTTCCAGCGTCGGCATTGGCGTAGGCGCTGACGTTGGCGCTGATGTTGGTGCAAGTGTTGGATCTGGTGTTGGAGCCACTGTTGGTGCCAGGGTCGGTTCTGGCGTAGGCGCTGGCGTTGGCGCTGGCGTTGGCGCTGGCGTTGGCGCCACCGTTGGTGCCAGAGTTGGTGCCAGTGTTGGTGCTTGGGTCGGTTCCAGCGTCGGCATTGGCGTAGGCGCTGACGTTGGCGCTGATGTTGGTGCAAGTGTTGGATCTGGTGTTGGAGCCACTGTTGGTGCCAGGGTCGGTTCCGGCGTAGGCTCTGGCGTTGGCGCTGGCGTTGGCGCTGGTGTTGGTGCTCGTGTTGGAGCCGGTGTTGGTGCTAGCGTCGGCGGTGGCGTAGGCGCTGGCGTTGGTACCGGCGCCGTCAGTTCAGAAGGTCCAAGCTCGAATAAATCACACGGTCCAAACTGGATGTCGTACAGCCCGCCACAGTAATTTCCATAATCTGTGCCTGAGTTCCAAGCATCGATCACATTTTGCGGTATGTTCACGTCAAATGACGAATGAAACCGCGATCCGATTGCATTCCCATCGTTATCCACCAAGCACATGTGCACATTCCCGCCTTGATGGGTCGGAAAAATGAAACTTTCAAAGCTGAGCTTATGAGCCAACGTGGTCGGCCATCCATCCCAACTTCCCGAATCAGGAGCAAGGCCACTGATTGGGCAAGTGACTGGAATCGTTTGTGCCGTCGTCCGGCGGACGTCCACACGGAGGACGGTCGTGTCCGCCGTCAGCGCCATCTGTCGGCTGTCGTTTGGGGGCGGAGTCGAGGCATTGAGCTCTGAAATTGTCGCGTTCGCCGACGCCCTTCGAGCTTCGCGTTCAGAGGTCGGCGCAACTGTCGGTGGCGGTGCCAGCGCGTAGCTCAGTCGGGCCACGGTCGTGGGCCCGACAAACAAAAGCAAGAGCATAGCGTCCATCATAGGCCTCAGCTGCCACCGACTCAAGGCCTCAGCTGCCGCCGACTCAAGGCCTCGGCTGCCTCAAAGTGGCCAAGGCGATTGGGCTTGGCTCGAGCCATTATGGTTACGGACCCTCTGGAGGCTCTCTTGGGAACCTTTTGGGCCCTCAGGAGCCTCTCTTGGGTCATCTAGGAGCCAACTTGGGCCGTCTTGGAGCCCTCTTGGGCCGATTTGGGGCCGTCTGGGAGGTCTCTTATGCCGAATTGGGGCGAGCCTGGGGGCCTCTTGGGCAATCGTGGACGCCGTGAAGACCAAAGAAGCAGGTATGCTAAACAGATGTGCTTTCCTGAAAAGGAACGGGGCGAATTTTGCCTTTTGGGCGTTGTTTGGGAGGCTTCGTGGAGCGTTTGGAGGGCTTATTCGGCCGTCTTGAAAGCTTCTTGGGTCCTCTTTGAGCGTTCTTGAGCCGTTTTGGGTCCTTTGGCCTCGCTAAAGCCGTCGTGGAAGTATCTAGGGCGCTGTTGGGGCTGTCTTGGGCCGTCCTGTGGCCCTCTCAGGCGCTCTTGGAGCTGACTTGGGCCAAACATGGCATAACATTCGGCGATTAGACCTCCTTGGCACGGGGATGGAAAGCGCTCGTACTCTGTGAGGGCGCAAGATCGCTTGATCAGTGTCTTGGAGCCTTCTTGGTGTCATGACTTTGGTGCGTCATACAGAAAACGAACAAACAATCTTGCGAACAACAATGGATATGGCATCTCCGGGCCTTACTGGAGGGCCTTTTGGGGCTCCTTGGGGCCGTCTTGGGGCCCTCTTGGATCGTCCTGGGGCCCTATTGGGCCGTCTTGGGCCCTCTCGGGGACCTCTAAGTCCCTCTTTGGGGCTTCCTGTAACCCTCTTGGGGATCACTTGGGTACCTTTCGGGGCCCTCTTGGGGCTCTCTTGGGCCGTCTTGGGTCGTCTGAAAGCCCTCTTGATTCGTCTTATGGCCGTCTTGGGAGCCTCTAGTGCCGTCGTGGGTCGATCCTGGGGGCCTCTTGAGCCGTCGTGGACGCTGTGACGACCACATAAACAAATATGCTAAACACGCCTGCTACACGAAGGAGATGGGACGATTTGTGTCTCTTTGGCGTGCATACTTCTGGTCCGATGTTTGGGTTGTAGCCCTTTATTTTGTTCAGACGATAATTTCTGAACGGCTATATCTTGTTCGAATGAGGCAACCCGTGGTTTCTCGTGAGTTGGACCTGCGTGCGCGGAGACCCACGCATATGCCCCACATCTTATTTTGGTCAAGTGGTTCTTTATAAAAAGGATTGATAAATCAACGCATGTGCACAACACAATAACATGTGTCGACGATGAAGGGAAAGGAGGGTCGACACGGGATGGCCGGGAATGATACTACATAAAACTTGATACGACATTCCCGGCACAATACATACGAAGCAAGCACTACGCGCATGGGTATCGTGATTCTTCGTAGGGACAGGAATCCGTATTGCGCAACATGTGTTGTGCAAAATATGTGGTGAGCCCTCTGGGGTTCAACCTATGGGGCGCGTTCTATGCGGTGCAACCCGCCCTGCCGAAATTGAAGTTGTCACCCCCCTGCTTGGGCAATCATCCCACCCACCCACCCGCAATCTGTTTGCAAAACCTATGCGGTGGCGATTGCGATGAGTGCTCAGCGCTGGCTGGCGCATCGCCGCGGCAGCGCTAGCGCGCATGCTCGCGCGCAAAGCGGCCAGCCAGTTTGGTGCGACCGACGCGGCAGCGGTGGCGCTGACCGCTGGGCACTTCCCAGCGGGCACTTCAGTGCGAGTCGGCGACTTGGGCGGGCGCGGTGTCTTGGCAACGTCGATCTCGGTAGACGCGGTAATGACAGTAGACGACGGCGGCGCGGCCAGTGACGGCGCCGATGCTGATCACGCTGGCGGCGATCACTGCGTCCTCGCGTCGGTGATGGAGGTTTTGGAGGGAGTTCGACACGCGCGCCCTGTGGTGTTGGGTCCTCGGTTTGAAGAGACATCGCCCCGCGTCTCTTCCTCTCATCCTCTTCCCTCCTCTCCGCCTCCCGCTCCTCCATCCTTCCCAACCCCTGTCGGCACACCCCTCACACGCTTCGTGGCCCACTATGGAGCTCCACCGCACGCCCCAGCGGCAGCGCCCGCATGCAGCCACCCCCTTCCCATTTCAGTGCATCCCTCACACGTTCCGTGGCACCATAGGGAGCTCCACCGCACGCCCCAGTGGCAGCGCCCGCATGCAGCCACCCCCTTCCCATTTCAGTGCATCCCTCACACGCTTCGTGCACCATAGGGAGCTCCACCGCACGCCCCAGTGGCAACGCCCGCATGCGGTTCCGTCCTTCTTTTCGGTACACCCCTCACACGTTTCGGGGCCCGGGGGCTCATCCTAAACCCCCAATGGCAGCGCCCGCATGCGGTTCCACCCCCATTTCGGTGCACCCCTCACAAGCTTCATTGCAACAGAAGGAGCTCCACGGAAGGCTCCCGTGGCAGCGCCCGCATGCGGTTCCGCCCTCCATTTCGGCACACCCCTCACACGTTTCGTAGCCCCATAGGGAGCTCCACGGAAGACTCCCGTGGCAGCGCCCGCATGCAGTTCCACATGCAATGTCGGTACACCCCTCAAACGTTTCGCGGCCCCATCACCGAAGGCCCCAATGGCATCGCCCGCATGCGGTTCCACCTTCAATTTTGGCACACTTCTCACGCGCTTCGTGGCCCCATAGGGAGCTCCACGGAAGGCTCCCGTGGCAGCGCCCGCATGCAGCTCCACATTCCATTTCGGCACACCACTCACACGCTTCGTGGCCCCATATGGAGCTCCACCGAAGGCCCCAATGGCAGCGCCCGCATGCGGTTCCACCCTCAATTTGGGTGCAAACCTCACAAGTTTCGTGGCACCATGGGGAGCTCCACCTAATGCCCCAGTGGCAACGCCCGCATGCGGTTCCATCATCCATCTCGGCGAATTCGTTGCACGCTTCGTGGCCCCATAGGGAGCTCCACCTAAGGCCCCAAGGGCAACACCCGCATGCGGTTCCACCCCAACTTCGTCGCACCACTCACACGCTTCATGGCCCCAACGGGGGCCCCACCGAGATCGCGCTATCGCGCGGGACTTCCTCACAAGTGGTACAAGAATCGCGTACGAATCGTGATCTCGCGTGGGACTTCCTCGCAGTTGATTCAAGAGATGCGCCCTCGGCGCTCGGGAATCACGCTCTCGCTTTGGCTTTTCGCGCGACTTACTTGGGAGTCGCGCTACCGCTCGAGACTTCCTCGCGGTGCATGCGGGACCCACGCTTCAGCAACCCGCCTGCTCGACCTGGTCGCTTGGACCCGCCTTCCCGACCTGCCCGCTATGAGTCTGGCCACCCGATATGCCCGTTTAGTTATACTGCTTGTTTTTTTTATCTTTACCCCCCTCCTGCAAATTTCTCTCGTGTTCCATTATCCCTCCCCATTCCACCCGTCTTCCATTCCCTTGTAATAAGGGTTGCACACAATGCGCGTGGCCGGTAAGGAAGGTATACCCCCAAGGGGGTAAGATCGAAGACGACGAAGGCGGGTACCGAGGGCTTGGGATATACGTATTGATTGGCACGTGAGCGGGTCAGAGCGGACAGTCTTAAAATGATTGTTGTTGTTGCTGTTGTTGTTTGTATTGTTGTTGGTGCTGTTGCTTAACACTCACGACTGAAGAATAATTAGTGATGGTCCCCCCCTCCGGTGACCAGTGCATTTTTCAATTGAAGTGCTTCTCCGTGGGCTCGCACCATGTTTCTTATCAGGGAAAAGTCACTCGGCTCAAACTGGGTTGTTGGCCGCCAGATTACAACAACAACGGCTCCCGCCTGAGAACTCCTCTGTATTTAGCCAAGACCTCCGCTCGCGCCTGCGACTTCCTCGCATTTTACTCAGGAATCGCGCTCTCGCCTGAAACTCCGTTACAGAGGATTCAAGAATCGCCCTCTCGGCGCTCTAGAGTCGCACTCTCGCTAGAGACTTGTTGCAATTTACGAATCGCGCTTTTGCGTCGGAGTTCCCCGCAGTTTATGTAAAGCGCCGCGCCCGCGACACTCAGGCACCCAGGCGTCGCGCTCACGTTCAGGATTCCCTCGCAGCTTCTTTCGGAATCGAGATCTCGCTGCCCTTCGTGGCCCCGTTGCAGCCCTTCATGGCCCCCTCGCTGCCCTCCGTGGCCCCGTTGCAGCCTTTCGTGGCCGCCTCGCTGCCCCCCGTGGCCCCGTTGCATCCCTTCGTGGCCCCCTCTGCTGCCTTTCGTGGCCCCGTTGCAGCCCTTCGTGGCCCCCTCTG